CATCAGTTTATTGTTTGGTACACTCCTCAGCAAAATAGGGTTTTTGAAAAAAAAAATCAAACTATTATGGAGTTGGCTAGAAGTATGTTAAAAGCAAAGAGAGTTCCTACTCTTTTTTGGGCTGAAATTGTGGGTTATGTTGTTTATCTTTTGAACCATGTCTCATCCAAAAGTGTGGCAAATATGACTCGTCAAGAAACTTGAAGTGGACACAAACCGAGTGTTGGGCACTTGAGAATTTTCGGAAGTGTTGCATATTCACATGTGCCAAATGAAAAGAGGAAAAAGTTGGATGACAAATCTAAAAAATGTATCTTTGTTGGGTATAATGAAAGTTCGAAGGCATACAACTTGTATAATCCAATCACCAAGAAACTTATTGTCAGCAGAGATGTGAAGTTTGATGAAAAAGAATCTTGGAATTGGAATAGAAATGATGAGTTAGGCAATTCAAGTTGTGTTGAATTGGAAGTAGAATCCAATGACCAAAATGTTGAGGTTGAAGGGAATGAAGAAGTTACTACTCTTCCAACTTCTCCATTTCCTACTCATTTGTATTCTTCTTCGTCATCATCTTCAAGTTCAGGTACAAGTGATTCCCTTGTAAAGACAAGAAGCATAAGAAAACTCTATGAATGTACTAATAAAATGTCAGAAGAAGACTTGACTAAGTTTGCTATGTTCGTTGATGTTGACCCAATCAGTTTTGAGGAAGCCTCTAAAGAAGAGAAGTGGAGGCTAGCCATGGATCAAGAAATTGATTCAATACATAAAAATCACACTTGGGAGCTTGTAGATATTTAAAAATATGAGAAAAAGGCAATTGGTGTGAAGTGGTTGTACAAGACAAAATTGAATGAAAATGGAGAGATTGATAAGTTCAAAGCTCGTCATGTCATGAAAGGTTACAAACAAAAATATGAAGTTGATTTTTGAGAAGTGTTTGCTCCGATTGCTCGTCTTGAGACAATTCGAACGGTGTTAGCCTTGACAGCTCAAAACAGTTGGAGAGTTTATCAAATAGATGTCAAATTAGCCTTCTTAAATGATTTTCTTAAAGAAGAGGTGTTTATCAATCAACCACAAGATTATGTGAAGGTTGGTAAAGAAAAGAAGGTTTGTTGTTTGAAAAAGACATTTTATGGGCTCAAGCAAGCGCCAAGAGCACGGTATAATTGTATTGATGGCTATTTTATGCAGAACAATTTTAAAAGTTGTTCATTTGAACATACTCTCTACATCAAAGAAGGTACGCATGGTGAATATTTGATCATTTGCTTGTATGTTAATGATTTTATTTTTACGGGAACAAGTTCAAGTATGTGTGGAGAATTCAAGAGAGCTATGATACAAGAATTTGAAATGACGGACATGGGACTTCTCCATTTCTTTCTTGGCATTGAGGTTAAACAACAAAAAGATGAATTTTTATTTGACAAAAGAAATATGCAAAGGACGTGTTGAAGAAATTTCGGATGGAGGATGCTAAACCAACAAGCACTCCAATGGAAGTTAGTTTGAAGTTGGGCAAATTTGATAAAGGGGAAAATGTTGATGGTACTCTTTATATCAAAGTCTTGTTAGTAGTCTTATGTATTTGATTGCAACTAGACCAGATCCTACTTTCTCAGTATACATGCTCAATAGATACATGGAATCACCAAAAACGAAGTCATTGGGATGCCGGAAAGAAAGTTTTGCAATATTTATGTGGTACTATTAATCAAGGGATACTTTATAGAGGAGTTGAAGACTCGAGTTTGGTTGGTTATTGTGATAGTGATTGGGGTGAAAATGTTGATGACTGCAAAAACACTTTTGTTTATGTTTTTAGCATTGGCTCAGGTGTTGTTTCTTGGGCATCAAAGATGCAATCAGTTGTGGCTATTTCTACAACAGAATCTGAGTATATTTCACTTGCCTTGGCATCTTGTCAAGTTCTTTGGATAAGATGGATCTTAGAAGAACTCAAGCATCGACAAGAGAAAGGGATAACACTGTTTTGTGACAATAGTTTTGCTATTTCACTCACAAAGAATCCAGTTTTTCATGGCAAAAGCAAGCACATAAGGATCAAATTTCATTTCATTCGTGACTTGGTTAAAGATGGAGAGATTATTGTCAAGTTCTATATGACTCAAGATCAACTTGTAGATATCTTTACAAATGCTTTGAAGAATGATACTTTCAACAAACTGAAAGAGAAGCTTGGCATGGTAGTTGTCTAGCTTAAGGGGGGCTGTTGGAATTCTAAGCAATACAACGTACATGTCTATTGGTATTTGAAGGGTTTTACTTTGGTAGCTAGACAAAATATCTATTTCACACATGGTTCATGTATGTAAGTGGTACATGGATATCACTCAAGAGTTATTCATGTATGGAGTTTAAGAGTTGTTCACGAACCTATTTATTGTCTAGGTTTGTGTACTTGTCTAGATACATGGTAGAATAGTCCTATAAATTACACAAGTATTTGAGTCATTGTAAGTTTTTTTGTTACCATTTCAGTTATTTATAAGAAAGTATTCAATCAAGAATACAATTTCTCTTGATCATTTTATTTTTTTGATCCACCACTTTGTTGGCTTCTTGAGTGTGCCAAAAAAAATTTTGGCATTGGGAGCCATCTTCATAGCCCGACCATGTAGGAGAATTACCCCTAGTAAGAAGAGATGAAACAAGAATGACATTCAGATGATCAATAGAATGAATGAAATAGAGAGAAGAAACATCGCTAATGGATTGCGACATAAAAGACAAACAACTGGAATTTGTTGTTTCTTGTGTTTAAGCAACCATGGCAAAGTTTTGGATTGAACCCTAGACACTCAAGAGCATAGGCTCTGATACCATGCTAAAAATGATTTAATAAAAAAATCTTTCTCATTATTCCAGTAGGTGGTATACATCTATATAATAAAGTAGTTAGCTTGATTTTTCTTGAGTTTTTTGCGGCTCAAATTGATTTAGTATTATTGATCCGACGATTATAATTAATCTACATTCCTACAGGACTCTACTACATTCTTTTTATCTCTCCTTATCCTCATTTAAACCATTAGAGAGATATTTACATTCCTACAGGATTCTGCTACATTCTTTTATATCTCCTCATCCTCATTCAAGAGATTGGCTTGGATGGATATATTCTAATATCTATTAAAACTCTAATAAAAATGATTACTCTAATAAAATATAGGTTCATTAACATATGTTGTTCATTAACAATGTTATCTCACACTTTCTCTTTTAGTATTATTTGTTTGTATTGACGATTCTAGTTGGACTTATTTGCTCAAAATATTTTGTATGATTTTATAGATGAAAAAATATTTAAATATTAAAAAAAATTCTCAGGTTGTAGATATTTAAAAGCTAAACTAATTACCAATAAAAAAAAAATTAAAAGTCAAGCTAATCACCAATAAAAAATAACAAATGTTAAATTGCACCAAAAAAAAAAAATTAAAAGTCAAGCTAATCACCAATAAAAAATATCAAGTGTTAAATTGCACCAAAAAATAAAAAAATTCAAAATCAAGCTAATCACTAATTAAAAAATAACGAATGATATCAATTGCACAAAAAAAATAAAAAATTATGCACAAAAAAAAATATTCTAAACCAACTATCAATTTTTTTTTTCTTATTTGCATCACTTTCCCCTTGCTAATTTTCATTTTTAAATACTTGAATAGTTTAAAATAGATACCGAAATGATAAAAAGGTAAGTTAAATTAATTTTTTTTTTAAGTAGTAAAATTTTGATTTTTTTTATTTTGGTTTAATTGTGGCGTGAGAATATTTCTGTAGCATCCAAGGAGTCATAGTAGTAGATAATTTAAATTAATTGTCCTTACAACTACAACAGATTCGCTGGACAATATTGTTGAGTTGGATATTTTTTCTATTTTTTGAAAATTTGATTTGTAATTCAATATGAACTAGAAAACCTATTCATTATTTAGCAAGAGGCTGAAAAAATGAAAATTCATTGGAAAGAAGAGTCGCCATGAAGAAATATATCACTAGATAATTTTGTAATGATGTTAATTTAAGTTTATAGGGATTTTCGAATTGTATTAATATAATATATTTTTTTTCATTTCAATACTTGGACTTCTTTTATTTAAGACATTCTTGGAAGCCCATTCACTTGACAAATTTTTTGTGCACAAAAATGCCTTCAGACACAAGTAATAACTAGTTTTGATATATAATACAGTGGAAGAGATAAATTAGGACTCTACACGCCTATAAATTCTATGCTATTGTTAAGCAAAAATCTAATCCTATAATTTAGCTTCTAAATAAGAAACAAATATTTACAGAGAATCAAGAGTGTATCGAAGGACATCACATAAGGAATCGATCCGCTAAGGAGAAGCTTTTGCCCACTAAGGATGGGATCAATCCAGGCAATGCTTCTATCTCATAATACACCACACCTATTCACCCACCTCTCTTCCTCCATGGTATAACCACCGCAACTACACAACTATAACATCACCTCAAAACACAAACACATGGACATACACACAATCACACGCATTACTATCCAAATATCACCACCCCCACTGCAATCACACCGTAATTGGTTCATCCAAATTAAAGCCAACATCCACAAAATCCAATTCCTCATTAACTTCATGAATTACTCTGTTTAGGACTATTCAATTGGGATCTACAATTTATAAATGGGTCTTTCACCCTTATATGATCTACCATAGAGTTAAAGTATGATAAAAAAAACATTTGAATCGGTTTATTCAACCATCAATTACACAAGTCGATTCTGATTTGTGGTGGTTGTGTAGCACTGGTACCAACAAGGGTATGGGAGGAGTTAAATATACATTCCTCATAGAATTTCCATTAATCGTAAATGCAATGAATAATTGTTTTTTTTTCCGTGCAACTAAAGGAAGATAATATCTATGCTAGCCACAAAAAGGGAAAACAAAAAAAAAAAAAACACTAATATCACTTTACATAGAGGGCAACAATATTGTAACACACAAATCTACAAACCACTAATTTACCTTCCACATACATTACTGACTTGGTGAATGTCCAATTAAACAAGACTTCTACTTCAACACTACAACACAATGACAGTTTTTTTATAAACTACAAAGCTTCTTCTGGTCTCTAAACAACTACAGTTTAATGGAAAACTAAACTGTTATCATCATCAAATCTCATTTCCTCTAGGTTCGAAGTTGCTCCATCTCCCACACTGCTCTCTTCAAAGCTCAGATCAAACAAGAACCCGTATTCATCCTCGCATTTGGAGTTCATCATCCCATTGATGGGAACTTCGTTCGTGTCCCGAGACAGTTGAAGAAAATTAGGGTTCCATGGAGACAAGTTTAGGAGAGTGCTTTGGATTTGGTTTTGGGGTGAGCTGTGGCAGAATGAGGTGGTTTGGTGATACCCACAAGGAGAAGATGTAGCCAAATTTGGAGAGATGACACCAGCTGTTTTGTCGAACACATTTTGCTGGCTATGTTCATCGTTATTCTCTTGCTTGCCTTTGTGAAATACTCTACATAATACCCAGTCTTCCTGTGAGTATGAAAGCTCTCGTTAGATTGACCAAACAAAAAAAAGAAACAAGTACGGGAGTTTATAACACTTTTACTCGTTAAAATATTAATTTGATACAATGAGAATTAAATTGATAAAAAATACATATTTTAAGGATTAAAAATAATATTAACCCTGAAAATTACGAAGAAAAGTGAAACTAAAAATAGCTTTAAATATATCGAAGTCACGTTATTTGATCTTTGTTTTTGGTCTCATTAAAATTTCTGCACATATGTTTGCTAGTTTGTTGCCTTATTGCCAGAAAAGAAAGTAAATCAAAGCCAATATGGAAAATCAACTAAGGATCAAACAGTTGGCAAGGGGTTTGGGCAAACGACAATTTATCTCTTAAAAGCTTTTTAAAATTTATCTCTTCGGTACTATGCTTGTGATTTGAGATAATTCATTTCTAACGTGACAATGTATAATATTAAAATATTTCAGACACAAAGCAAGATTATGATATATTTATAGATTAAAACTAAACATCATTTAGTAGGGATGACAGTGGATCGAAAAAACGAGAATTCATTCAAACTCATTCCTTTTGTATCGAAAATAGACTATATATATTGGATTGTAAATGTATACGAAAATACCCTTATAAACCCGTACGGAAATAGATGCCCTGCCCCGCCCCCAATAAACCCATTATATATATAAGGATTTAGAAGCATACATTGATACAACTTATACTTTAATTGTTACTTTTTCTTTAAATCACAAAAATTTATTATAATGGGCGAGGGCAAAGGCGAATGCTAAGACAGATAACAAGGGCGAGGATAAGAATTTATTCGCAAGGGAGGGATGGAGATTAAAACTTATCTTAGGGATGGACGAACTTCTTTTAAGCAGGTACGAAGATAGAGACTACTCTCCCCACCCCCGCTCCGCTCCACCACCATTCCTATCATTTAGGGGTTGGGGCACATCACTATACTTTTGAGAAATCAATGTGGGAGCAAAATGAGAATTTAAAAACATTTCAGGGGCAAAGTGTCATTCATCCCAGAAATTTTATATTTGCAAAGAACCAAAAGATACGGGTTTCTATCTTGTTTCAAAGGAGTTTCTCTGAAGTTTCTTGCTCTCTGTTCTTATAACAATGTTCTGGCAAGAATAATTTCTATCTCGTCAGCATCTGTTCCCCATTTCTCCTTCCCCCCCCCCCCCCCCCAACCCCACCCACCCAAAAAAACCCTGAACTCCCCTCTCTATGTATGTACATATATATGTATGCGCATGAGTTAAGAAAAAAACAATTTAATCATGGCCATAGAAAGACAACAGACCTTGGGAGGTACATGTGGGTTCTCCAGGCGAAACTCATGCATGATCCAACCAGTTTTGATCCCATTTGGAGCTCTGTTTCTGTAGAAAACCAGCGTCTTCCTCATCCCCACGATAGCACGAGATCTCGGATCATGAACCGTCCGATCCTTCCCGGTAGCCTTCCAGTATCCAGATGTAGTGGCCCTATTGGTCCTAAACCCAGTTGCATACTTTCGATCTCGAAAGCTAAAGAAGTACCACTCTGTTGAATTTAGCTTTGCCATATCTTGTGAACATACATACACATATATGGTTAGGTTCAGCAGTTAGATAAATCTAAACACTATCATCCAAAACATATAATCAGTGCATGTTAAAAAAAACTCAAGTCTGTATGCATGGTTGTAAAGTACATACATGCACACATATACATAGGTATATTATAATTGAAGGCAGTCGAAACTCCCGCAGGTATATATATATGTACAGTCTCATCTCCATGTAGAAAAACTTTTTTTATTTATACATATACATAGGTATATTATAATTAAAGGCAGTCGAAACTCCCGCATGTGTGTGCATATATATATATATATATATATATAGTCTCATCTCCCATGTACTATTTTTATTTATACATATACATAGGTATATTATAATTAAAAACAATTGAAACTCCTTCACGTATATGTACAGTCTCATCTCGCATGTAGAAGAACTATTTTTGTTTATACATATTGGAGTATATTAGTGGGTATATACACTTTAAAGAATAATTATTGTCTAAGTGACACGATTGTAGAATCTGAAAAGAACTAGATACATATAGTCTTAACCTGGAAAGAAACAGATACATACAGTCTTAACCCGTACGCATGTGAAGAGATAGTTTTCACCCATACATATAGATTAGGTGTATATATATATATGAGTGGATGTAAAACACTTTAATTTCTGTGTAGGCGATGCAGAAGTTCGGTACAAGTCACAAAGATGAGTGTTCATAAATTGTTTCTGCTTTTGTAAGTTTATGAAAGAGCTCACGAGAAAGATTAAGAGAAGGGTTTCAAAGAAATGTTGATTACTTAGATGGTGCTAAGTCCATATCACTTTATGTCGTATTCTATACAAAGATTAAAAAGGAGTATCAACTTTGTGGCTTTTCTCACTTTTTTTTTTACAAAATTTCTGGGACATTGCACATGCCATCACTAGCGTCTAAGAAGCTAAAAGGCAGCTATAACTCATTCCTTAAGAACTGATTGAGTATCATCACTGAAAAAAATGATCACGAGTGAAATCAAAATTAGAAAGAAAAAATTGAAAATGAATATGCACTATTTTAATTTATAGTAGAAAAATAACTGGGCATACCCAAAAGTCTAGGGAGAGTTAGATATACGTAGTCTTACCCTTACAAGCAGATAGATTGTTTTCACTAGTAGAACAATAATTATAAATTTAAATAAAAAAGAAAAGATTTGCATATAATAAATACTTACACTCACATTACTAGGAAATAAACCTCACAATCTCCGTGAGAGATAAGAGAGAACTATTCTAAAAAATTATAGTCCTAGAAAACTTTATCTTGAATCTCCTAATCTGTAAGAATTCATTTGTTCTTGCCAAAAAAAAAAAAAAGAAAGAAAGAAACAACTTGTTGTTTACACAATTCAACTCTGAAAACTTGAGTTTTTTGACAACTTGATCTTTGTTTTTTGTTTGATAGACCAAAAAAAATTCAACAAGCCAGCCCAGAGAAGTAATTTGATCATCTTTCCTGTCCTAAATGGTTCAAACACCCCATCCTAGAAGCTTCCTCCATAAGGACAGCACTAAATTCAAAGGGGAAACATCTAAAAGAAGGCACTTTCCCCCATTCTGAATATCCATTATTTAGTCTAGCACACAATTTCTATGAACAATCTATTTGTATTCACACCTGCAAATGCTTGAGGTTAGTCTAGTTAGTCATGAGCCTATTTACACCCCAAAACTATAAGAACATCATATTCTTTTTGAGATGTTACCTACTTTAAGATGATCTTATTCGAATCCGTTCCTGCTTGGAGGAAAAATGGCAAAAGCAAAAGACAAAAGAATACTTAAGGCAATATATATATATAGATTCAGTGTTGTGCAAAAAAATATACGGTAGAGTATCAGTTACACCACCTTGTTTGATTTAGTATCACCTTTATGGCTAAAATAACTAAATTATCAGCCAAGAGTAATTTCTTGGAAGTTTTAAAATTAAACAACGTAGAACATCTCTCTCTCTCTCTCTCTCACACACACACACACACACACACAGAGATGGCATTATTGTAATGTTTTTGTATGCGCAGGTAGTTACAGTATCATGTTAGTAACAGGATGTCTGTAACATGTTGTCTGTCTGCTCAGACAAAAACCCAATTATGAGTTTTTCGTCTTTTGTGTGTCTACCTCTACCTGCTAAACAAGTAACCGAAAAGAAGAAGAAGAAGAAGAAGCAGCAGAGACTGCCCAAAAGTGTCTTCATTCATTCTGATGTTTTTCATGTACCACAACAGGAGGAGATGGTTTTTTTTTTTGGGGGTGTAGGGGGTGGGGGTGGGTGGGTAGAGAGATTTCAAAGAATTTTGACAACAGAATAAGAGGGTCATCAAAAACATCTTGAAATTGCTTTCCAAGATGACATACTACACGCACCGAGAGGGGGAGGGGGGGAGGGGGGGAGAGAGAGAGAAGAAGAAGAAGTAATTGAGACCTACCAGGAAGCTGCCATGGCTCGCATGTATGCAGGTCAATTTCCACCAGAGTACCCTTCAGAACTTCTTCATTAGCAATCTTCTTGTACAGATAATGGCAGATCAACTCCTCGTCACTAGGATAAAATTTGAATCCTGGAGGCAGTGAGTCTCCGATGTCTCTCAGACCCATTTTTCCTTGGAAATTAAGAGGATGGGGGTTGCAATTGTAATATACCTTTTCTTTTAGAAACCCCAGAGGATTTTTTTATTCAAAGATTGGTGGGGAAGAGATGTTTGTGGTCTAAAAGAAGCTTTCAATTCTTTGTTGGAGACTATATTATATAGAGGAGAAAGATATGTATTTATACAAAGTGATAGGCTGAGAAAGACCTTCACCACTTGCAATTCCTTTCAATATTCTAACAGTTTATGCTTGTGGAGTTAGTTATGGTTACTGTTAGGAAATTTCAAGAAAAGAACAAAGTCACACGAAAACTTATGTGGGGGGTTTTATGGGGAAACCATTGAATGCATTAAATGATCATACAATACAAATCATATACACACAGACAAATTTCTCCTTTAGACTATATTATAAATACAAATCAGCTATTTCTACAATTTCAAAACTTTAGGGTTGCTAACAAAAACATATTGACAAATAGGAATATTATATTGCACAATACGGTTCATCTTTTACATAATTTTTTATACATCCATTTTTTACATAGTTTTGGGTGAAATTAAAGTTAATTAAAAAAAAAAGTGTTTTTATTACCTAAATTGAAAAAAAAATAAAAATAAAAGATCAGTATATTGATCCCACGACTGGGGTTATGCTGCTAATTCACTTTCATCCATGGCCCACCAAGGACTATTAAGAACTTCCTAAAATGGGATTGTCATGGAAAATTATTTTAATGACATCGAGTTCCGTGATGAAGAGAAAGAGAGAACAGTAAGCAAAAGCTTACAAGAGTCATATGGTAAGACACATTAGCTTACTAGACCTATTATCGGCATATAATTGTGCGTACAAGATCCTGCACAATATAAACATTAGAACAGATCTTTTTTATAGTGAACACATGTCCATCAATCAGGTGGTCGATCTTGCTACTTAGAACAGGTTGTGAGTGTTGAAGGTGGCCCAAGGTGGATAATGAATCGTTTTTATGAGTTGTCTGAGTGATCCAGGAAGGTTAAAAGAGGTTCCTGTAATAAAGAAAAACAAGTTAGAATGGCGCCGAAGTGTTTTTCGACGTATCCTCTCCGACGATCAAGTCAGTTCTTTGAGAGAATGGAAGAAGAAAACATTGTATGATGGTTGAGAGAGGGTTTGTTGCGTACCTCTTTTCTGTGTTTGTGATGACTATTTATACTTTAAAAACTCATCATTGTTGTCAGCATAGCTAGTAGGTAATCATTGGAGGTGGGCAGTGTGCACACCAATTTCTATAAGTGATGTTTTTATTCTTTACTGCTCGGGACCTCGAGCAACTAATGCTTTCTCCTCGGTCTGTCGAACGTTTCATGATCTTCCCTCGGCGGGGGTGTATTAAATGCCCAGGCTTTGGGACATTTATTACCTTTCACTTCCGAACTCTCATGCATTAAATGTTGTCTCATCAAGAGAAGGGTGCATTAAATACTTGTTTTCCCAAGTCGTGTGTCAGCAAGGGCATTCTGGTATTTTTGTCTCTGATCTGACACAATACGCCACGTGCGCATTTTCCTTTGATTGAGCCTTCTGTTTTCTTGTGTCTCCTGACACCATTTGAATAAGACGAGGTCATGATGGCCAGTCTAGCCTAGCCTAGGCTAGTGATCTGTCCATCAATAGCCCCTGCAGGAGCAGAAACGCCCACGCAGATAGATACACCTTGGTGCCGAGGGACTAGCATGATTTAGGACCGATATATCCCAAACTGTTGAGGAATACGTGTCAGTCCATGGTGGTTTGGGGATCCTTGATCCCTGTGAATAGCATCCTCAGGGCAGGGGGGTTGGAAACCAACGAAGACGTGTCGGTATTACAGCGAGAGTCTCCATTGACGCCGAGTACACATGTCATCATCTGGGAGTGTCTGAAAATGTTCCATCAACTACCCCCCAACCTTCGATCTTCTAATATCGAGGACATGCGTTGTAAGGAGACAAAGGGTTTTGCAACTGCTCCAACCACTCCATCATTGCTTCCAACCGTTTCCCGTCACTTAGGAGGTCGTGCGCATTAAATGCACCTCTTCGTGCTTTGTGCCTAATAATAAGGAAGGGTACTATATAAACGGGCTCTCTCTCTCTTTCCCACACTTTTGTCATTTCGAACTCAGAGAGCTTTTGCCTTAAAACTTCGCCGGAGACCCCTTTTGTCACGTCGTCTACCAGTCAGTCATCACCGGAGTTTAGACCAGCAAACAACCTCTTGATTCTGAACCTTCTGGAGAGAGGAACCACTCCAAGCCCTTCAGAAACCTTCGTTCGTGTTCTGGTGAGTCATTGTATCTTCCTTCTTTCCGTCTTTCTGGGTTTTTGTTTTCTATTCTCCGGTAACCGGAGGTGTTTCTTGTTGTCATTGTGTGACCAATCCTCAGGAAACCCCTTGGGGATCTTCGTAGAAAATTTTTTTCCTTCCTCTTCAGTTTTTATCTTATTTGGAGATGCCCCGACGTCGCCCTGCCGCCAAGGATCCCCAGGCCAGTTCCTCGAGCCCAGGGAAGTACAAAGTGAAGGAAGACAAGCAGATTAATAGGTTTAGGGCCCGATATCGTATCCCCCCAAACGTAGGTATAGAAGAGTACAATCCAGTTTTGCATAACCGTACTCTCGGGGCCGAGGATGAGATGCCCTTTTTCACCAAGGCAATCATAGAGGGTGGGATTAGGTTCCCTCTGTCCCTTCTACTTCTCCAGTTCCTTTCTCATTTCTACCTCTTTCCCGGGCAGTGTTGCCTTAATGTCTTTAGGATAATAATGGGGGTCCTAGAGCTTAATAACCGTCTCGGGGTAAACGTTGGGCTCACTGATATCCTTTTTTGCTACTCCCTGTTGAGGGTTATGTCTTAGCAGAATTTCTACCTCAAAGCCAGGGATCCATCCATGTACCTTGTAACTCACCTCCCTGACTCAGACAAAGGATACAAGGATGACCTTCTGATCTTCAGTGGATCCTGGCAGCGGGGGACCGGTCCCGAGTACAATGGTCTGATGTGCCCTTTTGAATGAAGAACGACAAGTACGTCGGCTTCTCTGAGTCTACTATTTTTGTCCTTGGGATTTTTTAGAAGTGTTAATAACCTTCTTTCTTGTGCAGACGTCTCCGCCCGACAAGTCGCTCCTCCCCTCGATCCTTGGTGAACTTTCCTGACCTCGTCACTGTTTGGAGATTTGTTGGCGACGACGGGTTCGGCCGGGCCGCTCACATTCTTCTGAATTACTCAGCAGGGTACAAAAAGTTCTCACAGCTCTCTCAGCCCTTCGACCTTTTGCGGTGGTCTGAACTCTTGATCAGACTGCGCAACAAGAGGTTGAACAAAACCTGGAGGAAGATCCCGACAGGGCTACTGAGGCGGAAGTAGAGGGTGCCCTTGAAGTTGAGGAGTTCGGGGCCAGAGAGACTTTGGTTCCTTCGCACGCCGAGGTGAGGACTTCTGGGAGAGATTCGTGGTCTGACTTCCACATCCTTCAGTCCCTAGACGCAGAGGACGCTTTTGAGGTAGCCATGTCAAGCACGCCCCGCATAGATCTGGGATTCCTGAGGCAGAGGCAGGCCTTTGCCGCAGGGAGAGGACGGGGTTAACCAGTAGCGCCCCATCAACAGGGAACAGCGCCAACCCCCCACCTCAAAGAGCCGCTGGTCGGGGTCAAGTGCGTGATCGGGATCCTAAAGTCAAGGAGAAGAGGAGGACCAAGCAAAGGCACGACGGCCCAGGCAGGGGATCCAGGGCCCCCTCCGCTCAACAGCCAAGCGGGAGGGCCATGGGTTACCCCCCCCACCTCAACAACAACAGCAACAGCAGAGGCAACAACAACAACAACAACAGCAGCAGCGACAACAATAGCAATATCAGCAGAGACAAACTCCACCTCCCCCTCGTAGACGGTGGAAGATGCAGAGTGGAACCCTCGGGCTACTGATTATATGAATCGGGTGATCAGAGTCGACGAATCCATTCTGCAGGACCCCCATGTCGCCAACGCAGTGAGCGAGACGCTCCATTTTGAGGCCGACATGGAGGCTCACAGGGGGCGGACAACGAACACGTTGTTCTGTTCCATCATTCAGAATTCCCTGGTGGTAAGTTCATCTTTGTTTCAACCTTTTCTTGCCGCATCACCTATAATTGACCAAGTTCTTTTCCTCGCAGGCAACCCAACAAATTTTCGTAATCGTTGTGCGATATCATGCAGCCAGGATGGACCTCCAATGGACCTAGGAGCAGAAGGAAGAGGCTGAAGGAGCCCTGGTCAGTGCTAAGGAGGACGTGGCTGTCAGGGACTTCACCCTTGCGGGGCAGGCTGCTCAGATTGAGCAACTCCTCAAGGACAATGAATTGGCGCAGGTCGGCGCTGAAAAGCTAAGTGCTGCCTTGGCTGACGCTGAAAGGAGGATCACACAGCAGACGCAACGGCTCTCTGCGGCCGAGGAAAAGGCTGTCGGGTCAGAGGAAAGCTGCCTGGATCTGACCCAGGAACTGGACAGGGTCAGGGCAGAAGCAGAGAATAGGAAGACTGAAGAGCAAATCCGAGAGGAGTTTTTCGATGACATACTACCCACCCTCGAGGAGAACAGCAAAGAGTTCTTCAAAAAGGGGTGGGATGAGCCACTCCGAGCCACCGACGTCCTTTCAAACTCCCCACTCTTCCAGATGCACAACTACGAGCCATCGACGGAGATGGCGCAGGCCGAGGCCGAGGTTGCTGCTGAGGGTGCGGCCTTAATGCCGATGCAAGTTTTGGCAGACCCACCTGAGGTGGTAATTCTTGTCTCATCCGATGAGGCCCTGCCGGAGTCAGCCACTTTTGTCCCCGATTCCAACATTCCTCAGACCCTGCCTACTACTGATTCTGCCCCAGTTTTGCCTGCCCCCGAAGCTGCTCACCCCTTCTGCATTGACTCTCCTTGCAGTGACGTGTTGGAGATGCCCGGGGCTAGATGAAACTTCTTTTTTCTTTTTTGAACTGTACTTTTTAGTCTGAACGTTGTAGCCCTCGGGGACGCAAAGCCCCTTTTTTGAAATGAATGGCCTGCTTTTTATTTTTTGAGTACTTGCATTATCTACTGAAACCATTTCATCATATGTATTTCATCA